CCCAAAAAAAAAGACATCTCTCTTTCTTTTTTCCATCAAAGTCTCACCTTCCCAGTTGATAGACCGCTCCCTCGCTCGCCTTGAGAGAAACCCTGAAAAATAATATAAACATGTCAAAAGCTGCCCTCCTTCCTTTTATCAAACCAAAAAGAAAAAAAGAAATCAACCCGGCCCTTTTTGTATTCTGTCTTTTGATTTTCTGCATCTTATTGTGCCACGCTTGTTTGCAGTGAAAGCTCTCTTTGTAAATTTATCGACGGCAGTGGGAAAAGTGGCCTCGCTCTCTCCTCTTCGGCTGATCGATTAAATTCAAGCAAATCAAACCAGAACTGCCTTTTAAAAGGCAAATAAAAGAGTCTTGGCCCACTAAACCCTCATGTATTGTTTTGTTTTTCTCTCTCTTTTAGAGGTACACACAAAAAAAGTGCGGAAGGTCCCTCCTGGCTTGCCGTCCTCGGTAAGTGATAACATGCCCTTTTTTTATTATTTCGGTGGTATTATTGCTGCTTTAAGTGTGTGTCGCCGCAGAAAAGGCTGCTGATGCTCCTGCATGTTTGGAATCGCTGAGCTGGTTCGGGAGCAGGAAAAAAAAACATTGAGTTGTAGAAAAGCTGCACACGTTGCCAGGTTTTGTAAATCTGCGGAGATGAAGATGATGCTGCTGTCGGAGCCGAGCTGGACACAAACAGCTGCCGGCTTTTTGTTGTCTGTTCCTGATTTTGGGGAATCAACTGGAAGAATTTCATGCCAGAATAAATAATCTGACATTAAAAAGAATTTCTAAATCTAAAGAAATGTATTGGTATAAATGCTATTTTGCATTTTAACAGTCTTAGTTTCCCTGTAATAGATTGATTGATTCCTTTATCAGTGATTGGTTTGGATCTATACTGAGGTATTTTGGAATCCTCACCAGTCGATCCACTCTGCTGCTGGTTGTTGGTATTTTTTTTAGCAGGTTTTGAAGGGCCGAAAAAAGAAAGAAAAGCCGCAGTCGTTGCCAGGTTTTGTGAATTTGTGGCGATGAAGATGATGCTGCTGTCGGAGCTGAGCTGCTGGACACAAACAGCTGTCGGCTTTTTGTTGTCGGTTATCAGCTGAGAGAGTTTCATCCCAGAAAAAAACAATACTTTTATAAATAAATAAAGGATAGAGTAAAAGTTAAAAACAGCACTTTTATTTAAACATTTAATAAATGGTTTATAACACACTATATGCTAGTTGTACGCAGCAATTATAACCTCTCCTATGAAGTCATTTTATATTATTATAACTGTGTTTGACTACATTGCCATTTGTTCATCAGTATTATGGGTCCCCACAGGAGGAGTTATTAAGAATACAATAAAGTCATAAACACTTATACCTGCTTACAACTACAATATACTGTGTTTTATGATGATGATTGATTGATTAATTTATATTAGTATTGGGATTTTTGGGCATTCTGGATTGAAACTCGTGGCAGTCGATGTGCTCGGCTGCCAGTTGGAGGGCTCGAAGATTAGACTCGGCCTCAGTTGAGTCAGTTCAAGCTGAAAAAGAATGGAACGCCATCCACCAAATAAGAAACTACTGCTGAGACCATGGTTTACCACACCAACACCAGAAATGTGCTGCTTTTCTCAGCTTTTTGTCATTTGGGTGTTGGTCGGCCAAAATAAGACTTTTTAAAACGTCACTCTGAGAGCATGTGATGGACATTTGTTTGGGACATTTGATAGACTAAATGGTTCATTAAAATAACCATTAGTTGCAGCACGAAACAGATCATCCATGAATGGAGCTTTCTCCTTAAAGGACGTTGTGTCTGTGGGTGAAATCATCAGAAAATACTCTCTGATCAGTCTTCAGTGTTTGTGGTTCCTCTTGAGCTGCTTGAATTGGACCCTGGCTGTTGTTCTGAGGCCTGGAGCACAGCTGGAGTTTGCTGAATCATATTTTACCCTTTATTCTCTGGAGCCAATGTTTTTTACCTTTTGGTGTTCAACTCGATTGCTGCTCAACCCGCAGGTTATACTTTAATTTGTTATAATGCAATACACCTTTAAAATGTATTCTTCTAGTGCTTGGTTGTGTTTGTGTGTGTGTGTGTGTGTGTGGAAATGGATTTGTTGAATTTGATCTTGTTTTCCACCAACCTGCAGCTCCTCTCTGTTTGAATCTCTATTCGAGTCGGCGACTGTTGATGACACAAAATCAACAGGTAGAGGATTGTAATCCTAAATCATCCCTCGTAGCGGCTCTAGTGCTCATTAGATTTATTTCTGATTATTACTTTGAGGTGTTTTACACACTGAGAGGTTTTTCTATTGCTGACCTCATTAATCGGCAGTTAATGATGGCTGAATGTACGGCGTGTCAGCCGCCTCTTTGGCTCGGCAGGAGTCCGCTTTTCTGTGGACTCAGCCCGCTTTGTCCATGTTTCCTCCTCTCTTTCCTCCGCCGCCTCTCTGTGTCTACATCGACCTGGGGAGGGAGGGAGGATGGAGGGGGAGGAGGACGGGGGGAGAGAGGAAGGAGGAAAGAAGGGAAACCAGGAGAGGAGAGGAAGGGTGTTAAAAAAAGGGAGAGCAGGGAGGAAGCGTGGTTTGTTTGACAGGTTGGTGTTTTTTTTTTGTCTTCCGTGTGTGTGAAGTGGTAGGATGAGACGTTTCCTGGGGAGGAAAGAGAAATGTCAAACTGTTGCTTTATTTGAATATAAACTAACATTAGAGCACATTTATTTAAGTGCTGAACATTTGTAATATTCTGATACTTGTGTTGTATTTACTATACTTGTTGTTTTGTCTTCATGCCACAGTAAGATTTATACTCTATACACACGATCAGCAGCACTTTGTGCCAGTGGGAGCCATTGTTTTTCCTTGGCAGGAGTAAAGACACAGAATGTCTTCGCAGTGAAATCTTTCGATCAAATTAATACATTTTGGTGTCAACTTTGACCTTGTCTGTCAACACTGTCTGCTAGAAATTAAATGAACTGCACTTATATAGCACCTTTCTAGTCTTACGACCACTAAAAGCACTTTACACTCTATTTGTTATTCACCCGATCACGTACATTCATAGATTGAAGGCAGAAGCTGCCACGCAACTCCTCGTTAGAAACTAACTAACCCATTCTCACACACACACACACACACTGATGGCGCAGCATTGGGAGTAATTTGGGGTTCAGTATCTTGCCCGAGGACACCTCAGCATGCAGAGGGAGGAGCCAGGGATCGGACCGCCAGATCTTCTGATGAGATACAATCCCAATTTTCAATCCCAAAATGGTGTGTCCTTGTAACACAGAAGTCGTAGGGTAGCTGTTACAAAGCGCAGGACGTTGAAAGAGATGAGTTCACACCATGTGTGTTATGTGTGGTTAGGTTTAGGCTACTAAAACACAGATCAAAATAAAGCTTACTGAGGTCGCAGTTTGGTTCGGTTTAGGAAAAAATTGTACCTCAACAAATCAACAATGGCTTTTGATTTTGAACTCAAACAGCAGTCTCCTTGATGAAAGTTTTATTTTTTTAATGTATAGTTGTGAACATGCTGGTCCTCTGTCATCCAACCGGGGGTGCTGCAGCACCCTACTACACCCCTACTTCCAATGCCCTTGTGCAGTCTATTCTGCACTCCACTCTGCACCCTACCTTGATGTGAGCATGCCTACTACACCGTTCTACAGATTATGTGTAGAGAACCTTAAGGTGTCATCAACCAGAATTTGAGGTCAATTTTAGAGGTAGCACAATTGCTTACAGAGTCGATGGAATGGCAAGAATGGGCACAATTAGATGACGCATACATTATATTGCTTTAATGGTCCTGGTTTGGGGGTTAGAAAGTATGGTCACCCTAAACCTCGACCAAGAGCACTGCCTGACTGACTAACCGGTTGTAAAAGTCTTGTGTCGACAGTCTTATGATCCAGGTTTTGGATCTCTGTGCTCACACCGCCTTCATGTCTGCCGCGCTCTGAGCCGTCTCCTCTCTGTACTCTAACCCTCTCTGTTTCCACCTCTGTGATGTGAGTAATCCTGCCTGCTTCCTCCCGCTCACATCAAGAGAAACGGAATGAGGAGAGGACCTGCTGCCTGTGAAATGGAGAGTTGGTTTGACTGCGAGAAAATAAATTCAGAGCCACTTTCTGCCTGCTTGTTGGCACGAGTACCAGTCGTAACAGAGAGCAGGAACTGTAGAGCTTTGTAGTTGTACCTGTCGTTTTTTCGAAAAGATTTGTTCTATTTTTGTTGCAGGTGTCTTTGAATCACAGCAGCCCAGCAGGTTCTGTCGTGTCATGAGTCAGTTTCGGCATTGAGGCCTTGTTTGGAGTTGTGGCTTTTAGTGTTCATTTTCATAATCACTTCTGCTGGTTTTAGTTTCAATGTTTTTAGCACTAAACCTTGCTCAGGACCAAAACACTGAGCAACACACTTGAAGAACCAGCCATTATGTCAAAGGACTGACAATAAAAAGAGCAGTATTATTTGTTCTTCATGTCCTCTTCTGATGTCTGTACATCCATGGTTACAGTGCAAACAGGAGCATCTGATACTGATACTATTATCAGAAATACTTCCAATACTGCCTGAAATGTCGTATCGGCTATCGGCAAGTACGCCTGTTTGTGCACCAATATTATACCACATACTTTATTAGCTGCTGGACACTGCTGGAAGTAGCAAAGTCACGTTTGGGGACTGCTACTTTTTTTTCGCCAGGATAGCGAAGTCATGACCTTTCCTTCTCTGATTCAAAAAAAGGGTTTAACCTAAGCCAGTCCATACAACAATGATGGCAATCAGGCATTGTAGTATACTCTTGTTAAATAAAATCTATTTTTTAACTTGTGTATCGGATCACTACTCGGTATCGATATGCAAAGTTCACGTATTGGCATCGGTATCTGGAAGGAAGAAATGGTATCGGAACATCTCTATCCCTAATGGAAATTCATAAAATAAAATTAAACTATGGGAATGACAAGGAAAGTGTTCTTATGTTGTTGTACATTGGATATGTTTTTGACATCACTATGACTCTGAATGTCCCATAAACATGGTTCTTCCGTTCCTGGAACAATGTCACTTTCTCCTTTCCATTCATATACACATCACACTGTATATTTTCATGGTGTGTTGAAAACCTGTGGACATAGAGGCAAAAGAAAAAAAATATTTCAAATTACATTTAAAAAAAATAACATGTCTAGTATTGCTCACATGAAAACTGGGAAATATTTCTAAATAGTCTAACTTATCCTAAAAATAACCATATATGACATGCCTAAGACGTGGCTATGCCATAAGGCTGTATGTTACCATGGTACTGTCCTATTTGTTTAAATTACCTGAATATTAGCATAATATTCAGTGTATGTATGCAGTTTTTTTCTGCAGAATTAAGATTAAGATAAATTTTTTGAACTGAAAAACATTTTTGTTTAAAGAGTGACAGTGTTTTTAATGGCTGAATGAATCCAACAATGGATGTTGATTTTTTTTTATTATTGCGGACTGTCTCTTTAACAGTAGAAAACAATCA